CTTTTGCAACCCCATTCTAGCAGTCACAAGTGGGGAAAGTATGAGAATTCCAGGTTCAACTCAGACGCTTTATAAGTTATATATAGAAAATGCAGTCACGCGAAACAGGCCGTGCACACGAAATCAAGTCGCCTCTGAATGAATGAAGAAAATTTCCATACGGAGTTGAGTAGAATTACATCTTACGACTATATCATATATCCTAAGCTTTGATTATAGTTACTGATATGAAATAAATCTTAACCGGATAATGTACACAGCTAATTCATCGATTCTGTACAGCAACGAAAAAACTGTCCGGATACTGGACACATGACATCCAAACTTAGTGAATGTTTCTGGCCTCCGTTATTCCAAACAAATCGAATCTCAAGAAGAATTAATAAACTTTCTGAAAACTTGACTTCCTTAAGTATCTTCACTTTAAAAATAAAACAGTTTCTTTGAAAATATCACACATTACCCTCCCTTTTCTGAGCAGTACTAATTTTACTGCGCAGTAAACAGCGTAAATATTAGCCATGAAAAGTTTACTTACCTGAACAGAACGGCGTCTTCTGCGACTGTTTCGCAAGCTTTCAAATCGCCAAAACTTTCATCTTACAGCTGAAATGTTCAGCTTTCATTCGAAATACTTCGTTTACCGAGAACTGAAAAGGGCGCCTCAAAAATTGAGTTTTTGTTTCAAGTGTCCGGATACTGGTACCGTCCGGATACTGGGCAACATACTGTAATTCTCTACGAATTTCTAAAGTTTAATTTTTCGCGCTTCAGTACCCAAGTTTGCCTGTTTTTCGTAGAAAAAGGAAACCTAAAATTTTCGGATTCAAACATGCGACGGATGAAGGAATCAGAAAAACTCTTACTTTCGTAAAACTTAAAATTGCCTCTAAAATTTTCGGGAAAATAATACGGAGGCCCTTGGAATTTCGAAAAGACTCAAGTTGCCCTAGGACTACCGAACAGATACAAATTTTATAGTGTTAGCCCAGTCCGGGTCAAAGACAACAGCTAAACGACAAAAAATATGTAAAACTCAACATCTTTACTGCACTCGACACTCAGTTGTTCCGATTACATTCGATTGCATGCATCATCCCACGATTCAGGGCTCGGGCCCAGTCCATTTCAGTCCTCTCTACTTAGTCCTCCACATTCTTCCTCTCTAAAAGAAGATTTTGTCCTCAACATCATACAGAAACGGTACTCGCGTATGCTATCACAATATCAGTTCCTTGCATTAAACGTAATTAACCTAATTGGTCTGGGTGATCAGGCCAGAAAAATAAATAGGTTTACTCCAGTCTTTCTCTTCTGCCGCAGTATCATCGCACATCATCGCATATAACTCGATACAAGGAGCTTTCCGCAAAAAAACGGCTATGTATAATTAGTGAGATAATATATAGATTTAGCCACAGCTAAAAGCGAAGCTCCCATTGATAAATTTATAACTTAAATCAAACAATAATTTTGTATTCCACAAATCAGTTAACTTAAAGCTACTTAAGGGCACATTCATGTGACTTTTGAGGGAAAAGCTAAGTGATTTTGGAGTGAAACAAACCTTGTATCGAGTTGATATAGCCTGATATGTACATCCAAAAAATAGTCTTCGGTCACATTTATGAGCAATAATTGCTCTTGATCACAGTAGATAAGGCGTGGAAAACAAATCAGGCCGAATTTTTTGCGTTTGACAAGTTTATTCTTGCCAATGAATCTGGGTGCGTGCAAACCATTCTTTTATTTATTTATTTTTTTTTATACACCACATCTGAGGCGAAAGAGTACCATGAGGCGCTTTTTTTATCATACAGACCTCGTACAAAATGCAGTATTTCACAATTTTTCAAGACAAATTGCATTCATTCAATACTCAGGACCATCGAAGCACGCGTGGACTTTTAATCAGCGAAACCGTTCAAAAAATGTCCAAACTCACCTATACGGCCGGCCGGTTCTAACTTTTGACAAGCGCCAAATTTGCAAAGGAATTTTAAAAGAGTTAAGCTTCAACGTTATAAAGAATTTATTGAGTCTATTTTTTCTTAATGGTTTTCTAACGATGTTTAATCTTAAAAAGCGTTTGATACGCTCGGCATTTTGAGTACTTCTGCAAGCGATGTTTATGAACGCCTGACGGCAAAGCGATGAAAATTACACTTTTGAGACTACCAACAATCAATAAAGAAATATAATTCGGTAGAACATTTACAGAGACAACAATTTTCATTCACTAGTAAGCTTAAAGATTAAGTTTATGTTTTAAGCCGCCGGTTTCCCGGTGTTTGCTTTTTTTTTAAAGATGAACTCACGACAAGAAAATCGCTCAAAGCTTTCTTTCTACAGCCAAAATTATAACTAAATATTCTCCGGAAAGTTTTTTCTTTCTATTTACGGTGAATTAATATCGACTAAAGGCTTTTTAAAGTTTTGTAAGCTTAAGCTTATATCAAACCTCATACTAGGTCAGATCAGTGTCTCAGTCAAATCTTAATACAAACGTGCATAAACTAGCTTCATAAACTGCGCCGCTCGACTTCGTGAAATTAGATGTAAATACAATAATTACTCAGGCTTACCATAATTTGAGATGCAGCTCCTGAAAGCTATCAAGTATGGCAAGGATCCGTTGAACCTTTATAATTCTCGTACGCATCCAGCAAGGTGAAAAACAAAAACGATGCCATCCGAGATCGGATTATCGACGCATTTCTCAACCAAAAACCCAATAAACAAACCAGCCATGAATAAGAGAACACTCTTGATAGCAGCTGTATTGCATTTTTTACATCCAGTGGAAAAAGACAGTTAAAAACATCACAACTGACTCAAAACTCTGTCAGTTTCAGCTGTCAAAGTAAACAACTTTCAAAATGCTGCATAAATTTTACGCATGAACTCACCTGTCAAATTTTAACCAATCAGAGCATAAAAATTGGACGTGGAGCGTGACCAACACGTGACCATGGTTAGAAAAGGTCTTACCCTCCTGTATTTTAAAGAAACTGGCTGAATTTTTGCGTCTGAGGTCAGTTTGAAATCAAAATCGTAATAGTCCGGGGCGATACTGACATAAACACAGCATATTTGACATAACTTTAAAAAAATTAGTAAACGTGAGCCTGAGATTATTTGAAAACGTTTAAATTGTCAGCGGATAACTTCAAAAAAATACTCGACCTTGATGGATCGACACCTGAGCCCGCGATACGGTCAGGTGATACTGGTCAGCGGATACCCTGTTTTGACAGCTGTCAAATGATGACAACATTGATGTGCAATCAGCTTTCTCCTGGGCTCCCAAAGTAGCTAGAAAGTGTGAGAGTAAACATTGGTATGCCTGTGATGCGGACGGACGGGCAGCGGGCGGACGGGCGGGCGGTGTACGGTCACGTGATTACCAAATTTTCTGGCATGGGTAGATTTACTTACCCATGGTGCTCCGCAGGCGCGCTTCGCGCGCCAGAGCTCCGCTACAACTGTTAAAAGTATTGTTTTGGAAACTAGGTCAAAGCAGTTGACTTAACTGACAACAACCACTTTTAAGTCCTGAAAAAAAAATAAATAAATAACGTGGCTAAAGTTCTTGTAGGTTCACAGGTACAGCCCATTTCCCTAGACTCGTTAATAACAGTAAGGTACATGAGTCATCTGCCCAAACTGCACAGGAAGGTACATGTAGACAAAACATTGACAACTGGGTTTCCACACAGGCTGCAACTTCCAGGGTACTCTATAAGGGTGGCAATAGGGACCTTAAGATTTGAGGACGTCATCTGTCTAGGACGCCACCGGAAGTTTGTTTTCGCCTAAAAATGTCACTGCGCATGTCTTTGTGTGAATGGGACGGCGTTTCACATGTGGTGAGTACGCCATTTTTTTAATTTCGCGTCCTGCGTAAAACGTGAGTATGTTTTTGTTTTTGGAGCTCAAATTATTCATTTCTTTCGCCGTTTTCGCTGTTCTTTTCGATATTCTATTGTTAACAGTGCTTGTTCTTTCATAGATAGACGATGGATTCCAGTTCTGAGTAAGTAGACTCGAAATATTTTCCTTATTAACGGAATGGAAAAATTTATCATGTTGAGCATCAATCTATCATGTCATGTGAGAGATCTACTGATGTAAGCAGAGTGTAGTTATATAATCAGAAGTTAATTAAACCCTCATCATGTCATGTGAGAGATCCACTGATGTAAGAAGATTGTAGTTATAATCAGAAGTCAAACTCTCACAGCGAGCCTAATGAAATGTTTTGGAGCTCTGTGATTTTTCCTTTGAAGTCTCGATATATTTTCCTCCTAACTGCCATGTTTTGATTTGATTCATGAGTTGGTAATTTACTCGTTGCTCTTATACTGTTTCCGCAGCTTGAGAATAGATATCTCGGAGATGCTGCAATGCAAAGAATACTCGCCGCTATGCATAAAGCCTCCATTACATTAATTTTTTACACTCTATCAAAGACCAGTTGAGTTCAGGATTTTAATTATATTGCTTCCTTTGGGACAATGCGAACAAAATTATACCTACCTTTGAAACTTCTTACAATTTAAGTGGTGTTTGATTTGTCATTAAGTGGTTGTTGAATTTTAATTTGCTTGGGTTATATTAGAGCAAATCAAACATGAAAAAACTCAGCAACTAATGCTGTTCAATTCAGTTGCATTAACTGTCAGTAGCTTACAAACTGAAAAAATAACTCTGAAGATATATATCTTGAAATGTAGGCTATTGTAGTAATATTAGCTTTTCCTTTAACAGAATGCCAGGTTTTCCAGGGGTCCAGGTGTGGACAAAAGAGCATGACATTCTGCTTTGCAGAGAAGTTCTCTCAGTGAATCCATTTTCTGCAAAAAAAATTCCAATGAACGAGGAAAACTGTGGGAGGAAATTAGCACCAACCTGAATACCACAAGTGGTGTGCGGTTTTTTGTAACAAAAGATCGGTTCGGGATCACCTCAACATATTAATTAAGAGGTACAGGAAGAAGATGAATACTGAAGAAAGGTCAACTGGAGTGTCACCTGAACCTACAGAATTGGACCAAGCACTGGCAGATATTATTGAAATGGAGGAAGTCTCTTCCACCTCCCAGGAGATTGCTGAAAGTAAGAGAAAAATGGCCATGGAGAAGTTAGGAGAAACCCAGAAGAGAGCAGTTGAGGAAGGAGAACAGGAAAACCATATCAAGAAAAAGAGAAGGAGTGGCAATGAAACAATCTCATTTCTGCGTGAGAAAGCGGAAAGCGAGAAGGCATTGAGAGAAGAAGAGTTAGCAATACGACGAAAGCAGCAAGAATTGGAGGAGAAGAAGCTGGCTTCTTATCTTGATCAACAGAAATCTATGATGGAGCTAATGCACCAGCAGCAGCAGCAACAATCTCAGATCCTCATGGCTGTTGTTGACAAACTTATAAACAAAAAAAGTTAGATCCCTGTACTCAGGAGTATTTTCCATTGTTTACACATTATGCCATAATTTTATGTGTTACATTAATTCATTGTATTGTTAAGGAAAACTCCTTTTAATGGTGAGGTTTATCAAGCTTGAACCACCATTTTATTCAATCTTGTTGTGCCTTAAGTTTACATACTGAAGTTGTGTTGAATAAATAAAATTTTATGTCATATTTCTTCAATGATTAAATTAAGCAAAGTATTCTTGCAACGTGGGTGGGTCCAAATCAAAATACTGGGAAGTAGTATTACCATAAAGGCATGTAAGGGCATTCCTTAAAAGGTCACAAACAATGTACATTTTACCTATTTGGCTGAGCCCTATTTTTAAGTTTTTCTTAAAATCGAGAAAGCAAAAATAATTAATGATGTCCCCAAACAACCACTCCACTGAGCTTCTCACTGGGCTCATGGAACTGTTAAACTGTTGCATTGGGGGAGTCAGGATTCCATTCCGAAATGGAGCTTGCAGGTGTATGCGAAGAGGATATGCCGGGTCTCCATATATACACAAAGGCTGCCCAGTTGGGGAGAAAGCAAATCTTTGGAGATCATGGTACAGTCCTGAGTCTCGTAGCATTCCGGCATCATGCTTTCTGCCCTCTGGAAATAGTAAAGGTTTGTACAATTAGGGGGTGAAAATTATTAATAACTGTTGATAAAAGCAGCCATTCTTTTTATCTTTACTGTTGTACTGTTTGGCTACAAAAGGTGACCCTATGTTATGGGATTCCTGCCTGTTTCATTGTGGTCCTCACATGTTTGCTATTTTACTGTTCATTGATTGTATATGACAACATATGAGAAGTATGTAAAAGACGTACTGTGACCCAGGTCTCCAGTAGGTTTGCCTGCAACTGCTAAAGCTTCTTTATGTAATTGATTGTTTATAAATATAAATAAAATTGAACGATACAGCTATACTTAAACACACTTACCAACAGGACCGTAAAGATTGGCAATTAGTCCATTTGGAATGGCGATCGATTGAAATTTCAGGGCATGCACCCTTTTGTGCCCATTGTAAACAATTCTTTGATTGGTGTTTGGGCGACAAATTGGACGAACTGTACCATCCACAAACCCAAAACAATTGTCGAGCGCCGCACCTTTATCTGAAACAGCTTCAGCATACGTCTGTAGTGCGTGGTGATTTAAAATAGTGTGATTCCACTCTGATATCCGACGAACATGATGCTCAAATATAAAATCAATGACTGTATTACTTATCATGGAGATTTCAGGGACAGGCCTGCCGAAAATGCTTATGAGGTCGCTGTAGCGACAAGGGTATGGCAGCCGCTTGAGAACGATGCATAATCCTTCAGTACTGTTACAGATTGTTCCTTGTTTACACTTTATTTCGTCAGGTAAGCCAAGAACATCAACCAAGAGAGGAATGTCGTATTTTTCGAAACGAAAATCTGTCTTACACTCAGCCTCACTTTTATCTTGCAACGTAAATCTTTCATAATTCCAATAAGGATACTCTGGATTTTTCGACTTGTTAACATCATAAAACAAGAGAAACTCATCCTCATTGATGATTTCCTCGCAAAAACTTACAAGAAGCTCGTCCTGCGCTTTCCTGAAGGACGCCATTCTCGACCAACGCGCTGGAGAAAGTTCGCGTCTTGTTTATCTTTTCTTAAGTCTAATTTCCCGCGCAAAGAACGGCGTTCCTCACCCCAGGCCTTTATATGGCGTGACGTCCTAGAAGAAGACGCCGTCCTCAAATCTTAAGGTCTCTAATATCTGCTGTGGGTATGACGCTGAAATCCCTTGCACTCCCACAGTAGCCCACGTTTGGAAGGACGGCTGCCCTGGTACATCATAAGTCGTCCTAAGTGGGGGTCTGGACGTTCGTTGTGAATGCCTCGGGAGTTCCTCATCCACAGCATCAGCGTCGTCATTTGAAGTAGCCACCTGTTCACAGCTACTTTCGGTCCCTTGCTCGTGGTCCGGGTCATCAGCATAAAAAGGATCAGCGTCCTGTTCTGCTGGCACCGGTGCATGTTTATATCCCTCACTAACATTGGCACCTGCAGACTCAAAACGTTCCTCAAATTGATGGGATGTTAAGTTCGGCATCTCGTCGTCAGCATTGCTGGATGTTCCTTCAGTGGAAGGCTGCCGTTTGGTAACTTTTTTAGGGCCTTTCTGTGTACTTTTGCTTGTACTCATTTGAGCTTCAACAGGTAAGTAAGAGCATGGTAGTAAGAGGTTATGGTGAAGAACTCTGGACCTCCCACCTCCACTCTCTGGCACCTCGTACACTGGCATGTCCCTTCTTTTCTGTGTCACGACATAGATTTCCTGTTCCCAATAGGGGTGTAACTTTCCCGGTCCACCCCGGTCCGGCAGATTCCTTACAAGTACGTGATCTCCTTCGTACAGTGTAGTATGCCTAACTCTCTTGTCGTATTGCACTTTACCGAGTTCTGCACTCTTCCGTGAATGAGTAGACGCCAGTTCATAGGCTTCTGTCATCGCTCCTCTCCATCTCTTGACAAATTCGGGGTATGTAGAATAGCCTTCTGGGGGCTTAAGGCCAAACATGATGTCGATTGGAAGCCGGGGGTTCCTGCCAAATACTAGGTAGAATGGTGAAAATCCGGTGGAGTCGTTCTGGGTGCAGTTGTAAGCATGGACTACCTTATGGAGATGGTCGCGCCAACATGATTTCTGTTTCTCAGGTAACACTCGGAGCATGGATAGAAGTGTATGATTAAACCTCTCCACCTGACCGTTGCCCTGTGGGTTATACGGCGTCGTTCTTGAGTGTCTGACTCCACTCAGTTTCTCTAGGTTGTAGAAAAGCTTGTTTTCAAATTCTCCTCCTTGGTCATGGTGAATAGTCTCCGGGAATCCAAACCTCAAGGCATGTCAATAATATGCTTTCTTTTTCGACCCCTTAGTGAAACCTGTTGAATAAAAATGCTGACGATATCAGAAATGGCGCTTTCGTGGATGCACGAGAAAGGCTCAAAGACTGCATTGTCTGAAGTTGTACTTGTGATTAGCTGCTCAACACATAAGGTCACTCACTTCCACGCAATCCTGTAGGCCAATTAGTCACTAGAGCCTTTTTTCTAATGTCGTCAGCATTTTTATTCAACAGCTCATGCCAGAGCTCATTCCAACCCAGGCCTCTTATTGGTCGATCGCCAGCATTTACACAAATTTATGGGAAAAATTAAGAAAGTTTTTAACCCTTTTAGGACAGTTAGGGTCATTTTCCTTCCGCGCGGAACGATGCAGATTATGCACTCATGTCTGAACCCATTTAGCTTTCAGTTTAAGCGAATTCAGCTGAACGATAGATCTGCACAGGTAACTCATTTTTAAAATTCTGACTAATCCTGCCAGAAAAAAATTGCATGAAAACAAGACAAGGTAAAGGAAGCAAAGAGAGCAAGCAAGAAAGATCAAAACAGGGAGAAACACAAAAGAAAGGAAGAAACAGCTAGAAAGAAAGATCGATACAGGAGGAAGGATTAACGCAGTTGGTTAGTGTGCGGTGCAGAAGGTCCCAAGTTTGATTCCCAGGTGTTCACCTCAAATGAACTCTAATAACAAAACAGCAAAGAATAAAGATTCCAGTATTCGGCTTGTCCGTTCGAAATTACGGGAATACTCGAGTCTTTGTTCTTTACTGTTTTGTTATTACAAGTCATTCTTGCTCTTTGTTAAAACAGCAAGATTTGGATACCGTCATAATTATAAGAGTCTCTACGTTCACCTCAAATCCTTCTTTCGACCAATTTCCTTTCTGTGTAGTTTTAGTTAACTTTAAATATCTGTAAAACGGAGCCCTGATGGAGAGGGGGACTGAGGTTGGGAGGAAGAGGTCGGCATCAGGTTTTTAGTCAGACGATTATTTCGCGGTACTGAAGTGAAAGAAGGACTCTTTACCTTTTATTTGCATGTACTTAAGCCAAATTTTGACTTATTAGCCTGCACCAAAAACATGCTCCTTGGCAGAAAACCGATCCAAAAATGCTGGTCTTGTGTTTTAGGAGGTAGTTGCCTTTAGTTTTGTTTTTCAGTTTTGCTATTTTTAAGATTTTGCTAGCTTCGTGATAAACAGTTTATAGACTTTTATAGACTTATAGACTCAGAGATTCAATGTATTTCTCCACATGGTTAGTTCCTGAGTTTTCGTCTAGTATTATCCATTTGAAGTGTTTATTAAACTTAGTTTTGGTTCTTTGAAGTAGGCTTGTTTGGGGAGTACAGCTGACCTTGAGTTTTACCCACAATCGAGTTACTGTTTTGTATGTTTTGTCCTTCTGGGCAGTTTCACTGTTAGCTTTTAACTGGTTCTTTGATACTTGTCGGTTGCGGCTGTGTAGGCTTATCTAACTATAGCAAACCTGTTGCAATATAGGCGATAAGATATTCAACAGAAACTCTTCCGGTCAGCTAGCCCAAAATAAGTCTTCAATTTGATTATTTAATTCGCTGTGTAAGCTAGTAGAATTAGTAGAGTCGTTATCAGAAGCTGTTGAAGATTAAACTGCTATCTTAAAGACGAAGAACACAGGGGCACCCAACGTCAATTTTCGGAAAATATCTGTTCGGAAGACGATTTGTGATCTAGAATTTTCGGAACATTTTTTGTAAAATTTCTTGCTTGCCTACCTCTCCTAGAATTTTCAAACATCTAAAAATTGGTGTAATTGCCCATTTTTAACGGATTTTTACCCTAAAAAGCTCACCTAGAATTTTCGGGAGCCTTTTTTCTGGCTGAAATTTTCGAAAAGGTAAGTTTTGATCCCTATTATTTTCGGATCTCGAGACTTTCAGCTGGGAAATCCGAACAGATGAAAAAATTTTAGGGGATAAAAATATGCCTATATCTACCGGTTAAATACTAAAATACGTTTAACAATGCTATGTTTAAGTGGTTTTGAACTATATTCTCGTTGGGTGCCCCTGAGAACAGAGTCTTGGTCCTCTCGTTAAAAAGCCTAGCGAGCTTCACAAGCCCTCAACACTTGTAGAAGATGGCCTTTCTTCGCTACTAACTTATTCAGTTTCTATACACTTTTCATTTGCTACTAGCTATAGCTTCTATACGCGAAGGTTGCAATGAATCTACCCAAAACGCAAATTTTTTCGCTCGCAAAAGGGGGAAAGAGATAACGTTTGGGCGACTAATAGTTGATGTCTGGAGGTCGGCTGTTTACCAAAGGGAAAAACGCAGAATGCAATGTTCCCGAATGACGCAAAACAATGCATTATTCATGCATTATACATGTGCTCCCTAGCGTTTTCAGTGTTATTTGAAGCTAAACGGAACGGAAAGAAGTCGAAACAAGTATTTGGGGTCACACCTGGGAATCGAACTCGGAACCTCCTTCACAGCAGGCCGTGCAGTAACCGACTGTGCTAATACTAACAGGGCTTCGGCTGTCTCGATCGCGACCTTCATTAGAGGACAGAAAAGTACACAGGCCTCTTCAGGGGTGAAGCAGAACGCAATATATGCTTTATTGGCGTGCTGCAAATGTGTAGTGTTGCCATTGTTATAGAGTCTAAAAACAATAGCTGCACTTTTAAATTACACTTGTCGAAGAAGTTTTATTAAACTAACCCCCGTACTAAGCAGCGCATGTTCTGTCGCCCTTTGCAATAACACTTGTTGCACTTTGTTATAACAGACTATCGCACTTTGTAGATAAGGTTTTTAGTTTTATAGGTTATATGTGCGTATTGATGGAATGAGTTTAATTTCTCCAGTCGAAAAAATTGGGCGCCCTCACGGTTTGAGCCTGTAGGCATAATAAAGGGACGAGTTTAGTTGTTTCAATAATATTCTGAAATATTACAGTGAAACCCGGTTAATACGGACACCAAGGGGAGATGCCATAGTGTCCGCGCGTATAATGTGGGTTCTCAGAAATAAACATCAAGGATGCATTTTTCATTGATTAAAAGACTAACACAGACATTTTTACGAGAAAACGTTGAAGTTTTCTAAAGAAAATTTACAACCATTTATCATAGTCCCAGTCAAAAACTACCTACCACTGAAACTACCTTTCAAGTATAGTCTTGAAATACAACAATGGAGTCGTTGACTTTACAAATCATAGTCAAGAAATCAATACTAGTAGCAGGAAATCAAAACGTGGCTTTAAATGAAACTGAGACTCCAGCACCTGTACAGCATCCCCATGCCCATCCATGAATATACTATACAGCCAAAATAACTGAATTGGAGCATCTGAGTAGAGAGTGTTTAGAACAAGATGTTTAGAAACTTGTTACGTCTTGGGAGAAGCTTTTAGGACGGACAAAAAAACAACATTAAGAACTTCCCTTGAAAAAAAAAATGGCTGAAACTTTTACTATAATTGCAACACCAAATGGACCATAACAACAAATATAATAATAATAATAATGATAATAATAGTAATAATCTTTATTCAATACTCATAAAAAGACCTATGTACAGTGCTGCAGTTAAAAAGAATTAAAACGAAATTTGTACCTTAACATCTGTTAGAAAAAAAAGAGAAAATATCATAATGTCTCAATATCTCTTGAAATATAACCCACGCAAATGTTTTTCTACTAATTATTACAATTACTATTACTATTAGCAATCACTACCAATAGTTAACATCCCTTCTCTAACTTTTCTTTAAATTGCCACGATTTCAACATAACCGGACAACGATAAGAATATTAAATAGTAGTAATGATAATTCAATATTCAATATTCAATAATCAATAGCGTCTTAAAAGCTCTCTTTCGATGTCAAAGTCCATCTCTTTTAGGTTGAATGCGATCCCCTTAAGCTTAAGAAGGATGTTCTCAGAATGGAAAATGAGATTCTGGTTCTTATCCAAGACATCGTAGTCGAATAGTCCTCGCCTTTCTTGGCTAACACGAGTTCCGCTAGTCGCTTGTGATAGAGTTGACATTCAGGTGCCATACAACCTGTAGTGGTGAACACCAGCGGCGTGAGCGTGGCTTGTTCCACCTCCATAACCCGGCTTGCGTATATACGTTTCTTCTCGTTTTCATTCTGGCGATATATTTGCTGAGAATGAGGGCCTTGTAAGATTCCGCATTTGGGTGGCACACCCCTATGTCAAAAAATGTGGAACCCTGTCTATACCAAAAACCCCGTGCATGAATGTCAAGCCAGGCATAGGGGGCTGTATTAGCCCTACTGGCTAACGACTCACCGGTAATCTCCTGCAGAACAGGCTCAACTTCAACATCATGAGAGACAAGGTTAAGCAACTGCGCCTTAAGATCCCACAGCTCGTTATGACGTTGTATAATGAAGCCCCCACGTTTACAAATCATTGCATGATCGACATTAAAGGGCTCTCCAGACACATACATTTGGTACGTCACTTATCTGGCAGTCATACCTTAGATGGACTGCATTTTTAATTCTCTCTTGTTGCGATTTAAGTCCATTTCCTTTACCAGGATGACAGTTAGCCAACTTGAAGCACCTTTTTCTGCTGCGAGATCGACCGCTCTCTTGGTCTTCTCGGGCAGGGAGTTCCTCACGTCTTCTAATTTATCGTCCAGGGCCCGGTTTCTCGAAAGATGGTTAAGTTTAACCCAGGATTACGCCAAATTTCAAGCAAGGTTTTCTTATCTAAGAATTGAAACTCGAGCTTAAAAAAATACAGTCTAGCCTTTACTCTGAGATACAGTAATGATAACACAAATGTTATTCTAAGAAATTCATAGCAAGGTAAAAGACAAAAATGGAACAAAATTTCAATCCTAGATTACCGCTAATCGGCATTTCAGGAACCGGGCCCAGTCTCACATCTCGCTCTCAAAGCGTGGTTAACTGCAAGGATCTTATCAGAGCGTCATCTGGAGGTTCATGCGCCTGGGATACGATTTGCGCGACAATAGGGGCGGTTACCTGAAGAGACATTGCATCCAGCTCGCTCAACTGGGTTGTCTAGTCCCAGCCCCCTCCTGACCGGTAGTGATAACAGTTCTCGCTCACTAGCTGTGCATGTATGGCCCGTAATTGATGGTATTAGGGCGTCACTAATAGCGCGTCCCAATGGTTCTAGCAGTTCCTCAATATCAGATAATCATGAGAGGACGCAGAGGGTTTTTACTATAAGCTTTGTGGGCACTTAATCCCATTTAATATTTCACACTGGTCGAAAGTGCTAACATTTCTGTGTCATGGTGAGACTTTTCAATGTATTAAATGTCAGCATACATTGCAAGGTAATCTTCATTTCGCGCCAGAATAATTTTGTTTGCGCGCTTTTAAAGTACCTGAAATCACAACGCCTGCGTTGTTACTGGAGTACATTGCCTTGGCGTGGATCTAGCATTTCACCTCCTCGTCGCTTCTTTTTCTAGAGAATTGTTTATATTTGGACGTAGTGAGAATAGATCAGAATGTGTGGTGGATGTTCACACTCTGCTACAACTAATACATGCGGCCTAATATCAAGGAAGGATGCTGGATTTTTCTCATTGTTAGCGAAAGGAAGGTAAAAAAACCGATTGCTCTGAGGTAAGAATTGAAATTTTTAATTAGTTTCTCGGCGAAAACAACCGTTCCACAGTAAAGAAATTTATATCGCTGCGACTTTATTGCGATATGACGCTAGCTTGTGCTCAGTAATTGTATGACTCCATAAATTCGATTCGCTTTTTCGCAGATCCGGTAACATTCGATATAGTTTTCTTCGCTTTGTTAAGTGTGATATATTTTTAAGGACGGTGCTTGTTCAATGGTTCATTTGCTTGGCCTCGACGATTCCCATGAATTTTGAACTGCCAGACATAATAAATGTTCTAGACCTTAAAAACACACTAACTTCCTATGTTATAATTAACCTCATGAGAGAAAAATCATTGTAATTTAACATTTTAATATTTTTACGTGAGAAAACTTGGCCAAATCAGGAGAATGAGGTAGAATGTTGACACACAAACGTAAAGAATGTTTAAGCTATGGGAGAGGTGCTAGATTGCAACATGTTCGTGTCCTTCTGTGCTTATGTATTTTGCGCGGAAAGCCAGACCTTTTCAGTCGTAACAAAAATACTCTTCTAGTTTTGAACTGGCTTAAGCCCCAACCCTAAGTTAATTTTCAATGCACACGAAGCTTTGATTTTGGGCGCGAGACTCAAGAGAGACGGCTGTGGCCATTTTTTGAAGCGCGAGGCGATCATAAGCTTTTTTTAAAGTGTCGGTTAGAAAGTACTTCTCCTGTTGCTAGTCTAAAACTAACTTCTTTTTCGAACTGGCGGACGGCTTGTCCCATACAGTGCGATGTAACATATTCTACTCCTGTCCCTAGTCTAAGACTAACTTCTTTTTCCAACTGGCGGACGGCGCTTCTCATACAGTTCGATGTAACATATTCTACTCCTGTCCCTAGTCTAAGACTAACTTCTTTTTCGAACTGGCGGACGGCGCGTCCTATACAGTTCGATGTAACATTTTCTACCCCTTTTCCTAGTTTAAAACTAACTTCTTTTTGAACTGGCGGACGGCGCGTCCCATACAGTTCGATGTAACATATTCTACTCCTGTTCCTAGTCTAAAACTAACTTGTTTTTCGAACTGGCGGACGGCGCGTCCCGTACAGTTTGATGTAACATATCCTAATTCTGTTTCTGGTTTAAAACTAACTTCCTTTTTTGAACTGGCGGACGGCGCGTCCCATACAGTTCGATGTAACATATTCTTCTCATGTCGCTAGTTTAAACTAACTCCATTTAATTTTGTTACTTGAGGAAACTGGCGCGTCAGAAATTTTAATGTATCAATGCTGAGTTGTGCGATTTTCATGCCGGGTTTTCATGGAAGAAAAATAAATCGGTGAGCGCAATAGAGTCTTAGAGTCTTAGTAGAGTCGTTATGCATCGGTAGCCCTTCGCGAAGGTTTGGAAGAGAACAGTGCACTTTGCAAACAGTTTAAGAGAGTGTGTTCAAAATCGAATACAGTTGATTTATGGTAGTTAGATTATAACTCAGTAATAACAGAACAATTGATAGTGAAGAGAAAGAAATTATTTGATTTATTGCAGTCAGTTTCAAAACCTCCTTAGATTGTTTTTAACAAGAGAGAGACAAGTATCTTTCGAAGGATCGCAAGGGGGAGCCCGGAAGTCGCCAGACGGGCACTTAAATGATACTAAAGCGCGCCTATTAAATTAATTACGGATTTCGAAATACGCGCGTTCGAAATATCCTTACTTAGCTCTGCGTATTGAAATATATACTAATTACGCTCTGCTTGCTTTTAGCAGTCTACTACGGTCTGTCGTAGTAAAGCAAATACGCATTACGCCGATTTAAAAAACTTGTCAAAATTTTCTACTCTGATGATTTCCCCGTGATTTCGTCATCTCTGACAATCTCGCCTATCAAAAATGTTTTGTTTTACAAAGACTGCTTTACTCAGGCTTTATTTTCACTACGATTTTACTTTATGTTTATTGAATGAAACGCTGGGTCTTAGTTTGAATACATTTTAATGTTTTCAAAGGCAACACTCAAACAAAGACTCTTAAAAGAGTTTTTGGGCATCATATTCAGTAGGCGTTTTCTTCTATACACGTCTTCTTTAAAAGAAAAAAAAAACAGAAAGTAATTATGTCACGTTTCCTGTTGTTTTCAATGTATTGACATCATTCTTGACATAATAGCAGATTATAACGCCTCACTGGTCTCTGGGGGAAGAAAAGCCAGCGCGACTTAGCTGAAGGTAAGTTAGGAATGCTAGTACAATGTACTAAGGATTAATATGCGGTACTTACAGTCGAGGTTCTATGCGTCCTGTCATGCATGTTCTTCATGCATGTACGTCCATTTGTGCTTCAAACCGAAGGTATATGCCGAATAGCAGGCTTGTGGTTGGGTTGCTGCAAACTCTGCCAGTTTCACTACCTGGCCAACCCAATCGTCCACCTTTTCACTTACATACTCCTCAAGATAAGATCTTGAGCCGAGTATACTGCTCCTAAATGCTTTTGACCCTGAGTGGAGATGTTAATTGATGTTTGACCAAAAAGATCCCTCGTTGCCTCTTCTTTCTCGGGCTTCACAATAAGCCAGCACTTTATCGCATTGGCAAAATATCCCAAGCTCGGTCCCGATTCGGTTAGTACACCCCACCATTTCTTCAGTTCCCCCAAGGAACCAGTACCGGTGGTGTCATCCGCGAACCAACACTGCTTTACGAACGTAGAGGCATTCAAGCGTGCTATTAATGACTGAAGACTTACTGCGTAGAGACACATAGCAAGGGAGTGCCCCTGGGTTGTACCTTCTTCTAATCTCAGTTCCTTTCCCCCAATGATAAACAAGACGTGCCGGTTCTCTATAGAAATTAATTGCGTAAGTGGTTGTAGGGCATGATATCCTCACGTTATGTAAAGCAGCAGCCCTATTCAAGGAGTTGAACGCATTAGAGGAATCAATCAGTAAGACGGCGTCTGTATTGTCGGCTTCAAATATGTTATGTATCGCGTGAATCGCTGCTTCACTTCCACTCTCAAATCCTACGCAGACTTGCAGTGAACCACTGGGCTCAATAATATCTTGCTTGGTCACCTTTGTTACACATTTTCCAATGATTCTCCTGATAACCTCTCCTACACCGATCTGCCTAACGTCCCCATTGCCTTTATCACGTGGAAACAACCGACTAGCCAAAATTGGTTGAATAGTGAGGGGATCAACAAACTCTGTAAACAGTCGTCTTGCTAGAGTAGCCAAGGTGTCACAAAGGTTCATGCTGGACTTCTTAAAAGACTTGCAGGCCAGCATTCTTTTTAACTCGTTCGCATCCACACTCCATCTCCATCTCTCCGTTTATTTGCTGATATAGGATGGCCGGAACATCCTCCACTGGCCCGAATAACACAGAGCCCAATTTAGCTTGTTGTGTGCCTCTGGATGTTTATCTGCGAGTTGTTCCATGACTTGCTCCGATAATGAATACGCCCCCACAATCCTCTTCGTTCAGATAGCGTAAAGCTGAGTGTATTTGACCTTCCATCACAAGTTTAGGGAAGATCTTTGCTTTATTCGGTACGTGGATCCACTTTCCGAGATCTATCAAGGTGCCTTTGTATCATTCGCCCCTCTCGCAGAAGAGTGTCAATTTCTCCCTCTTTCCACAGTACTAATCCTTGCAAGACACTTTTGATGATCTTTTGCCTTTGACTTTTTGCTTGGTTTTTGAAGACCAGCTGCTAGAAGAACAGAGGCTGCTTTCAATTAAGCGATATGCTGCATCTCAGTCCCATTGTTCCAGTCATGAATGTGCTTTGTTATCTGGTCGATGAAATCCCTTCCGGTTTTTCTACATGGAACGAGAAAACTATTTTTACGCCATGTAATGATTTCATTATAGCCTTCAACAATGAACGACGCATCAGGCATTATCAATTCTCCGTCACCTTTGCGCCCCCAGTTAACAGAAGCTGGTACGCCTGCAGCTTTATAATGTGGTAAACCTCCTATCGCCTCGGGCAACTGATCTTGTGTTCTCAATGGACGCGTAATTATCTGTACGCTCCATTGCGTCTTGTGTGGATTGTGAAGATGGCGAATGCAAATCCCTCTTGCCGTAGAATTAGCATTTTGGCCATGTCGATCGCTGTTTTGATTTTTCGTTCTCAACTATCCCTTGGCTTGCAGATCCCGCTACACAACTATACTCCGCCTGGTCGATCTCATCTATATCTATGACACTCGTCCCATTTGCACTATAAGTACTATTATCCAAAGAACATTCTTGTGCTTTTTCTAACCTCGAGGTTTGATAGCGTAAATATCGCCCTTTTAAGCCGAGGTGACCATATCCTTTTTGCTCCCAAAGTCCTTTTATAACCATGATGTATCCTTTCTTTTTCCCGTTCGCATTACATAGTGGATCTTGTGAGGAAGTCAGCTCCTTCGCCCTTCTCTTACACTCTAGTAAGTCGCTATTCATCCTGTCTGACCATTTTACCTACGGTTTTCTCGACATTTTGACTACAAGGGGCAGCTCCGCGGTTCTTTATATCACTCACATTTCAAGTAAATTGTGCTTTTGAGTCCTCTCCACCTTCACGAAAATAGTTATAATAATAATATAGCATATAATAATAATAATAATAATAATAAAAGCAATCTGTTTTATATGGATGATCTAAAATTGTATAGCAAGAACGAGCAAGAACAAGTTGGAGAACTGAAAATAGTGAAACAATTCAGTGATGATATTGGTATGGAATTCGGACTTGAGAAATGTGCCAAAGCCAGTTTCATGAAAGGTAAACTGGCCTCAACTGGAAACATAGTAATAGATGTTGACACAGAAATACAAGAGTTGGATCAGGAAGGAGTATACAAATACCTGGGTGTAGATGAAAGTGATGGTATCCAGCATAGCAAAATGAAAGAGAAGATAAGAAAAGAATATAATAGGAGAGTAAGATTAATCCTAAGAACTGAGCTCAATGGAAGAAACAAAATAGAAGCTATCAATAGTCTTGCAGTCCCAGTTGTGCAATATAGCTTTGGCATCATTGACTCGAAAATCTCAGAACTGAAGAAGATTGACACAAAAACACGCAAACTACTGAACATACACAAGATGTTACATCCTAAAGCAGATGTGGAAAGGCTGTAAATCCCAAGAAAAGATGGAGGTAGGGGCCTGATTGATGTAGAAACAGCATTCAAAACTGCAACAATAGGGCTTGATCACTATCTGAAGCACAAGGAAGGGCAATATCCAAAGCAGGTGCTTGAACATGAAAGATCTAAAGCCAAAAATTCAATATCCAAGAATGCTACTAAATTCAAAAGGGAAGTAACAATGCCAGAGATTGAGTACAGAGAAGATAAATCTGCCTCTGAAAATGCTAAAGCCCTGAAACACGTGTTTAAGTCCAGGATGAAGTCAATGAAAGAAGAAAAGTGGAAAAACAAAGCATTGCATGGCCAGTATCCAAAGATCCTAGAGAAGCCTCATGTAGACACAGTCACCACCAACAAATGGTTGTGAAGTATTTTGAAAGGAGAAACAGAGGGACTACTTGTTGCAGCTCAAGACCAGGCAATAAACACCAGAAACTACCAGAAAGTAATATGTGGCCAGCAAGTGGAGAGCAAATGCAGATTGTGTTCGCAACATGAAGAGACAGTGGACCATATGTGACCCTCCACAGGAATTTGATGCTAAAGGTGAAAGCACGCGCACGACACGCTTGCACGACACGCTTAGCGTGCCGTAGATCACGGATATGCGCATATTAAATTGAAAAAACAAAGACGGACACACAAGCCTTTGTTTTGGCAAATTTAACACGCTAGACCTTTTGTTTTTTTGTAGCGTGCCATATGTCACGGTAAGTGTGCGAATTATAGCACGGTTAGCGTGCAATTTGGGTAACACACGCTGAAGACGCTTGATTACTAAAACCGCTAAGATGATAAAAATGGCTTGGGTTTTCAGCGGATTTAATAAGCATTGATAACTGGTCGAAGTGAATCAAATATACCAATTGAGACTGTTTTGGAATTTGATAGTAACCGTGGCCATTTGAAAATCACGACTTAATGGTGGTCTAGCCTGGAATTAACGCGAGATCAGTGTAAACCAATTCCTCCGGCTGTCGGCTGTTGACCGGAATCGCAAAGAGGCCTGCTATCGCATGCGAGGCACTGAAGTTATGTCGCCTGAAAATTATAGTTATGCCACCGGAATATTTATTAGCAGTAATGCACAGAGAAATGAAGTTGAATAAATTAGTTTAATATATTTCTTTAAGCCATGCTAAGACGAACGAAGGTAATTAAATCGGAGAAACAAAAACTGCCTAGAATTTTCTATAGGTTGAGGAAGGCTAAACATTTCTAGATGACCGTTCCATGCATGTACAATTTTCGAAGGTTATCTAATAAATTCCTTACGATTTTCTGAAGTTTATTTTTTTCCATTTCATTCCCCAGTTAAGCTATTTTTCGTAGAGAATTAAGGAATCCTAAAATTTTCGGAACCGAAATACGATAAAATTCTCACTTTCCTAAAACTTTCAATTGGAAGCTAAATTTTTCGGGAAAATAATGCTGAAGCCCTGGAAAGAACTTTAATTTTGCAATGCTAATATAGTTCTACCCATAAATCCAGTAGGTCACACCGTTCACTGTTTATACTTTTCAAGTGACAACGTTTTTTCAATCAGATACTATCGCTACGATCGCTGAGGTATAACTTTTTCTTTCTCGATAGTTACTAAAAAAGGGTGCCGTTCATAATCATTTACGGTTCCTTTTTGTAGAGGAAATTTATATAGCTTTTGCGCACACTGAAAGCGTGTTGTGCTTTTTCGCACGGAGCTTTTGTATGAAAACTTTAACACGCTCTTTTGTTCGACTTGCTCACGCTTAATTGTCTCAAGTGTATCCTCTGAAACAAAAGAAATTGCTAATGAGGCAAGATTGCAAGCGTGCTAAAGCATGTTAAAATAAATTCTTTTGTTTTAAAGTGAAAGCGTGTCGTGCGCGTGCTTTCACCTTTAGCATTAAAATCCTGTGGAGGGTCACATATTGTATCTGGATGTGAGGTATTAGCCAAAACAAAGTACATCTCCAGGCACAATAATGCTGCAGCATATCTCCATCGGAGCATATGTAAAGATCATGATATAGAGATTACAGACAAATGGTACGAACACGAACCAGAGACCGTGATACACAATAAAGATAACAACATCACCATCATGTGGGACATGCCAGTCAATACTGATAGAACTATAACAGCGAACAGACCAGATATCATCGTTAAAGATTCAGTGAATTCCACCTGCAAACTTACTGATATGACTGTTCCATCAGATAGAAACATCGCACTGAAGGAAACTGAAAAAAAATGCAAGTACAAAGTCCTAGAACTAGAAATACAGAGAATGCGGCATATGAAAACAGTAGTGATCCCTGTGGTTGTTGGTGCGCTTGGTACAGTGAAGAAGGGTATGGTAGAAAACATCAAGAAAGTATCAGAAAGAGCTAATATGACAGAGATTCAAAAGATCTGCATGCTGGGATCTGCACGAATCCTCAGAAAGGTGCTCAGTGTATGA